CATGTAGAAAACACATTCTTATAATTCACAACAGTGCAATAATATTCATTTTACTTACCTATCACTAGGATGAACAATAAGCCTCAGGTATAATAAAGCAACAGGCTCGTGAAGATGTTATGCCGTTTCAACGTGGATCTTATATTTTCTAATTCGAATTACAAAAAGATAAGAAGTTGAACTGAGGGATCACTAGGGATTAACAATAAGCATCTTTATTACAAGTAATAAAAGGTGATTTTTGGCGTGACTCTGGTATAAGCAACCAAAGGATACCAAACTGCACCAGAACCAATAGCAACCACGGATAGCAACTTTGGTATATGTGTTACAGTCGAAGCCCGAAACGCAGGCATTCCTAGGATTGACTAGTCAATCCTGGGGAACGACCAAGCGTCTTAGTCGAAGCCCGAAATAAGTTTTGCGTTTCGGCTTTTGATTAGTCAATCCTAGGAATAACTAATACGGCTAGTCAAAGTTAGAAGCTAAAGAAAAATTACTTCGGACTTTGACTAGTCAATCCTAGATGTGACTTAATTCGGACTGTGTGACTGTTAACAAATAAAATCAAGATTTTTTTTACTAAATTGAGTTCTTATTGTTATTAATGCCCCGCGACGCGAGATATTAAACGTTAAAGTTGACAGGTATCAGGTTATAAAGAAGCTAAAGAAATATTACTTCGGACTTTGACTAGTCAATCCTAGGTGTGGCTTAATTCGGACTGTGTGACTGTTAACAAATAAAATCAAGATTTTTTTACTAAATTAAGTTCTTATTGTTATTAATGCCCCGCGACGCGAGATATTAAACGTTAAAGTTGACAGGTATCAGGTTATGATTCCTGTTATACCGACGAGCTGTAGCGACTACGGCGACTACTGGCGACTACAAACATGTCCTGTGGCCACATGCGCATGCTCAGTGGCCGCACGCGCATGCAAAACTGCGCCAATTTTAAATGAATCAATCGTGCAGAATAACCAAGCATCTCGATTCAAGCAGTTAGGTCTCACGCTGGGAGTTTCATTAGTTTAATTATGCGTGGGAAGCACACACACACACACATACACGGGGGTGTTGCGAGTGGGGGGCCTTCGGCTCCCCCCTCCCCCGCACCAACCCCGTCGGTAGGCAGCGTGGACCTCGCTTTACAACATAAAGTACATGCTAAGTTGTAAAGCGAAATTATAAAGCACATGCATGGAGGGAAGCAAGGGGGCTTACATGCGTGAGCGCACGTGAACAGAAAGGCTTTTCTCCCCTGCACCTTTCCCCATGCATGTACTTTATAATTTCGTTTTACAACTTAGCATGTACTTTATGTTGTAAAGCGAGGTCCACGCTGCCTACCGACGGGGTAGGTGCGGGGGAGGGGAGGCCGAAGGCCCCCCTTTTGCACCCCCCCGTGTGTGTGTGTGTGTGTGTGTGTGCTTCCCACGCATAATTAAACTAATGAAACTCCCAGCGTGGGACCTAACTGCTTGAATCGAGATGCTTGGGTTATTCTGCACGATTGATTTATTTAAAATTTGCGCAGTTTTGCATGCGCGTGCGGCCACTGAACATGCGTATGTGGCCACAGGGCATGTTCGTAGTCGCCAGTAGTCGCTACAGCTCGTCGGTATGACAGGAATCATAACCTGATTCCTGTCAACTTTAACGTTTAATATCTCGCGTCGCGGGGCATTAATAACAATAAGAACTTAATTTAGTAAAAAAAAAACGTGATTTTATTTGTTAACAGTCACACAGTCCAAATTAAGCCACACCTAGGATTGACTGGTCAAAGTCCGAAGTGATTTTTCTTTAGTTTCTAACTTTGACCAGCCGTATTAGGTATTTCTAGGATTGACTAGTCAAATGCCGAAGTGATTTTTCTTTAGTTTCTAACTTTAACTAGCCGTATTAGTTATTCCTAGAATTGACTAGTCAATCCTAGGAATGCCTGCGTTTCGGGCTTTGACTATAACATATGTACCAAACCATACCTAACGATCGCCAAAAATCGTCTAAAGCAACAGGCTCGTGAAACTCGTGGATTAAATCTTAGTTCAACTTACATTTTATCTTTTTCCTATTCGAACTAGAAAAAGATAAAAAGTAAATTAAACGGACGTTATTAAAGTTAACCTACGTTGGGGAAAATTGATATTAGATTTAACTGTGAAATAAGAATTAATTAAATAAAATATTCGTACGAGATACGGCTACTGTTATCCAATTAACCTTTTTAACGCAATAATACAAATGTCGAACGCTACCGTTGCTGTTCGCGAAGTTCGCAAACGCTTCCAAACGCTAACGCTACCGGTGCACTACCTCGGAAGGAAGAGCGTCGGTAGCGAGAAGTTATGACGTATAACGCTACTGGCAGCTACCAGTAATGACGTCACGACAGCGTTTGGTAGCGCTACCATAGAGCTCCGCGAACAGCCAGTAGCGCTAGATAGCGCTAATAGCGTCTCCCCGAACGCACTCTTGGTATCCATATGATGCGCCCATATGCCAGATCTTACAGAACTTTCGGCGATGAAGAAAGGATAATCAATTACAGGCTTAGTCGTGCTAGACGCGTCATTGAAAATGCGTTTGGGATCATGTGTTCAAGGTGGCGTATCCTGAGAAAGGATCTGTGCAACTCAGTAGAAACAACGGAAGACATTGTAAAAGCAGTTGTGTGCCTTTATAATTTTCTCATGATATCTGAAGACGACTTAGCACCATCAGAAAGAACTTACTGTCCTGCATCTATGGTAGATAGGGAAGGAGTATATGGAGATGTTATTGAAGGTGAGTGGAGGAGAGATATATACAGAGGACCGATCACTGATGTTGGACGACTTGGGTCCAACAATCCTACAGTGAGAGCTGACGCTCAACGAAACATTCTGAAAGATTACTTTTGCTCAGACATTGGCCAAGTAAATTGGCAGTGGGAACAAGCACTTCACCGAGTTTAGAATGTAGGAACACACATAATACACGATAATATAATATGTACATGTACTAGTCTAAGTTTGCGTATAATATTCAACGTATAATTACGTATAATATTCATGATTTAATCCACGTTCTGTTGTCTATTGTAATAATTTCCATTTTTCAATATTCGATTAAAGATAATATAGAGGGTTGCGCGATCACAATCGTCTTCAGGCTATGGTGCCTACGATTTGTCCACGAGATCCTTGGGCAATATCGGAATCATAAATATATCATACATTTTATATCCAACGAGAAATATCGTTCCCGAATAAGCGATCCTAACGAGCTTAATAAGATATTTCTTCCATTTTAGATGACTTGCGGAGTTAAGCAATTCTAACAAAATTGCTAATAGATAATAATTTACAGTTGCCGCTGTGTCCGCTCGTTGCGACGATTAACGTGCGCTCAATCGCATTTCGACTTGAAATATATCTCGCAAAACAATATCTCATTTTCCTGTTATTGTTGTTGGCAAAGTACCTCGGGGGAGGGTCTCACTTTATTTGATAATTTTTGTCATCAGCGCAAATGGAAATTCTAGCAGTTGTAACAGGGGCTCTCCGGAGCATTGGCGAAGTTTCTTCGCGTCTACGTCCGCGTTCAGTCCAAGCGAGATGCATTTCGAATAGCTCTCGGCATCTTGAAACCGCTAAGTCACATCGCGCCTACATATAGCCGTGTAATTAACAATAAGTGAATACTGTGTGATACAATAGCAATATAACGATCAATTAAATTCGAATAGGTAAAAAAAAGGAAGACAACGGCCGGCGACTATCACTTGCGTTGCGCGAATCATCGTTACGATCTTATTACGTACATACAATAAATATAAAGACGAAAGGAAAAGAGAAAAAAAGAAAACACGAACAAAGATTTGATATAACGTTATGCGTCTGTTAGTTTTGATTTCGCGTGCGATATTATCTGTCGGTTTCATCTTCGTCTGGGACGACCTCGCGATTAATCACTGCAAATACTACATAGCTCACCCGACGAGTGTTCGTCAAAAACTGCCAGCGTTATCGAGTTCTCGTCTCTCGTTGAACGGCGATCTCTTATTATGGACTCGCTTTTTGTACGTTTGTTCAATCTCTAATGTGATATATATACATGTACTACTTAAAGTTTGCGTATAACATTCAATTTTGCATAATATTCATGAATTTATCCACGTTCTATTGTCTTGTCATAATTTAGATTTTTGCATTATAATATTTTGCCGCTTAACTGAAGGTAATGAACACTAGTGTTTTGTCGGGGGGTGTAAGTTCCCCGATGGAACAATGGTCGAAAGCTTTGATGACCGAAGGACCAGAGGGGCGGTAGATCCCCTCACGATTAATGTACGGCGAAGGCGCGCTGGGCGCATGCAACGCGTGCATGAGATTGAGCGAGAGTGTAAGCGAAATCATAAGCAACTCACCGTGGATGGCCGGCTCCGGTTCCTCGCCGTTGTCCGTTGCGTTGTGCCCCGTCTCGGTGCAAGATCCTTGCAAAGGCAATAGCAAGCAAGCAAGCAGGCAATCAGGCAAGCAAGGCAGGCAAGCGAAACCACGTGCGGCTCCACGTTATTGAGAGCGTCTCTTGAGACGACTTGGCGAATAACTGTGTGTGTGTGTAGCCGTAAGCGGCCGTCGACGAGGCAAGTGATCCGTGCCATGCGACGTCTGGACGACAATTGTCTACCGGCTCGCGCTCCTGGAAGGTGTCGCGAGCGAGTAGTATGTCTGACTTGCATTGCGGTCGTCGGCGGATGGCGATGGCAGCACCGACTGGTGAGTCGCTTGTACTTGCCGATTGCGATCCACCGACGTCTCGCTAAAATAATGGGCCATGATACGGCCGAATACAGTAATGAGACGGTTCTATAATCCATTGATGAAAATTAAAGGAAAATCTAAGTAATGAGAACAACATAAGGTATCACGCGAATATTTACAACGATATGTACAAGGGGATAGGCGATGCTCCAAACACACCGCCCACCAAAATACGACGTATTTTCCCTACGCCTCGATGCATCCCTCCGGTGAATCGCCCAACGGGAAGGGGCACAGCTTCACCAGAGGGCGAGTGAGGACGCCGTCCGCCGTCTTCACCGTGGCGACCCGGGGAACCCCGTCACGGCCCGGGCACAACTCCACGATTCGTCCCCGCTTCCATTGCAATGGAGGGGTATTCTCGCTCTTCAAGAGGACCAACGTGTCCTTCGGTATCGCGGGTGCTGACTTTAGCCACCTCGATCGCTGCTGGAGGTTGTGCAAATACTCTTCATGCCACCGTCTCCAAAAATGTTGGTGCATATGTTGCACCAATTGCCATCGATTGAGCCTGCCCATCGGCACTGGCTCCAGGTCCGGACACGGAACCGCGACGAGCGGTTCCAGGGTGAGAAAGTGCCCTGGCGAGAGCACCTCGAGGTCGTTGGGATCGGAGCTCGTAGGACACAAGGGCCTGGAGTTTAGGATAGCCTCGATTTGCGCGATAAGGGTGCCGAATTCCTCCACGGTGAGGATCTGCGATCCTATTGCGCGTTTGAAATGGGTCTTCATCGCCTTGACCCCCGCTTCCCAAAAACCCCCGAAATGGGGCGCGGAGGGAGGATTGAACGTCCACCGGATTTTCTCTCTCTCCGAGGCGGCCTGCAAGCAGTTGGCGAGCTCTCGTTGAGCCCCAACAAAGTTGGTCCCGCAGTCGCTATAGAGTTGCGAGCAGCGGCCGCGCCTAGCCATGAAACGCCTCAGAGCCGACAGAAACGATTCGGTGGTCAACGAGAAGGCAAGCTCCAGGTGGACCGCCTTTGTGGTGAAACAAACAAACAGGCACACGTAGGCCTTGAAGGGGGTCGCCCCGCGCGAACGACGATTGTAGACCGAGAACGGCCCGGCATAGTCAACTCCGGTGATCGAGAACTGTTTTGCCTGACGCACTCGGTCCGCTGGCAGATCCGCCATGTACGGCTGTGCGGTGCGTGGATTCGCTCTGAAACACCGGTAGCAGCGCGAGAGACAGCGTCTGATGGCCTGATGGGCTCCCAGAATCCAGAATTCCTGCGACAAGAGGTAGTGTAGCGCTCGGCGACCCGGATGTAAGTGCAAACGGTGGGTGCGCTCTATCACGAGTTCGGTGAGCCGATGTTTTCCGGGCAGCAACGCCGGGTGCTTGACCCCATAAGATACTGCAAAGTGTGTTAGCCGACCGCCCACCCTGAGTCCGCGTTCATCCAGAAAGGAGGCGAGTTGACGGATAGGCTTAGAGCAAAACTGGTGGCGTCTTAAGCGAGCGATGTCCTCCGCGAAACACTGCGATTGAACGAGCCTGACCAGATGCAGCAAGGTCAAATGGAATTCGACTTGATCCACGAGGGGCGTCTTATTAAGCGAGTTTGATCTGGGTTTGCCAAACCGGAAGCAATAGGCGAGTATCCTTACGATCGTATCCAATAAAGAGAAGCGATCGAGGAGCGAGTCAACGACTGTCGGGGTGTCCGCGACGTCAGCGTTCACGGAGACAAAGCGCGAGATTTTTCTTCCTCTTCCGGGAGGTCATCGACCTCCGGAATCGTTTCCGGAGTAGGCTCAAAGTCGACGAGCCACGCGGGACCCGTCTACCAAATTGGGTGGTCGACTAGCTCGCGAGGAAACAACCCCCTTGAACAGCAGTCAGCCGGGTTGCATTTCGTATCGGGTGTCATTTAAATGCTCAGTTAAACTTATTTTAGCTCAGTAAATGTTTTTTTTGCTCAAGTTATATTTTCTATAGTGCTCAGTTAAATCGAATTATTTATCAGTAGAATAATTAAATTTCATAGCAATTATATGTATCCGCAAGGCCAATTGTTATTTTGATAGGTTAAACATTTAATATTTCTCGATAAAAAATCATATTTTGCTCAGATTTTATTTAAAAAAGTAACAAATTACAATAAATAGGTTGATGTGTTGAAATAGGGATAATATAAAATGCTCAGTTATTTTTTATTGTGCTCAGTTAATTAAAAAAATATTAAGTAAAAATAAAATCAAATATCTACATAAACAAAGTCTACATAAACTGTTTCGAAATATAATCAAATAGTCAACATCGTGTCATATTATTGAATAACCAACGCCGCTTTTGCTCGAGCAGGACGACCACGTTTTCGCTTTTGACCCAATGGTATAGTCTTTGCTTCGTCCGGTGCGATCACGAACCTCATACGAAGTGAAATACCAAGGATGTGTTGACACATATAAAGTTTGAAAAAATCGCTTCAATCACATTTTTCTTGGAACCAATTGTGTTTCGTGAAAGGAGTCGGAAAAGTCACATTGTAGTACTTGAAGTTCTTTGACATAAATTTGTCAAAGGTGTTCCATTCCTCATCTGGTCCAATTATATTAACTTTTGGGTCTGCTGGAATTGTATACAATGTGCGTCCTCCATTTTCGCTGACTGCCATATGAAAATCCGTCTTCGCCCAAGCATAAGCCGTAGTCCATTGTTCCAATGTAATTGCGGGACTATTATGAACTTCCACTTTACCATTAAAATACGCTAAAGACCATGTTTGCAATATATCAAACATAACAGTACGGAACCGGCTCAATTCATAACGTTCTCTAAACGTGTGTTCATCTTTAATCCTTTTGTTTGCCGATTCAAGCGCATTATTCGTCGATGGCGTAAGTTGTCGCACACCTTCATACCAATATCGATGGCTATGCAACCATTCGGATTCAAAATAGTTTGTAAATGCGGTGCTCACCTTTTCCTATTTTGCAACAAACAATTCGGCAGCTTTGTTGAAAATTTCAGTGCTTTGACTCAATTGAAGTCGATCGAGATCGTGTAATAGTTGTTTTTGATCTTTGGTTGTGCGAATGTCATATTTGGTTAGGTTATCAACAACTGCCCGACGCATATGCACCCAGCACATAATTATGAAATCTTGTTTACCAAACACTTGCTCGAAACCATTGTGGATGCTCTTTGCAGCGTCACTAATTAAAATTTCCGGATTGTAATCAAGGTTATACAAATTTTTCAACCCTTTTTTCACCGCCGCAAAAATAAACGCATAGTCGCTAGCTCGTTCGAACGTAGTTACAGCCACACCAAATGGATGATAACTTCGATACATATCAGTTGTTCCAATTTGCAAGATCGGGTACCCCTGCCATACACATTTATAGGTTCCGTCTGTATGTAATCTTTCAGAATTCGTGGCGTTAGCAAGCAATAATTTTGTTGATACGATGAATCTGAAGTATGGCTCTCTTTCATTCAAACTAACTTCGAAATCAACAATAAATGGCATGTTTTTATCCATTGGAACAATCACATTATCTTGGAGCCAATTTTTCAAGTCGATCAAGTTTATTTTGTCGGCACCGAACTTTGCATTGCGCAACTGTTTCAAATATGCATCAAATTTTCTTCTGTCTGGTAGCTCAATTTTCTTCATCATTAACTTATTCAAAATCACTGCCGGTTTCATCACGCCAAGTTCGTACATATTTTTGATCACTTCCTTCGTTTCGAGCGGTATTTCATAGACAAAATTTACATTTTCGTCGTGATCATGTTCACTTACTGATCGGTACAAATGCACAGTCGGATTTCTCGAATCAAATAACAAATACACGCTCGCCGAACATTGCTTGCTACGGAATTTGACTTTGTTGCATCGGAACATTTGCCGATCGCCTTCATTTGACTTACTCTTGTAATATTTTGACCAACAATTCTCCGCTTGAATGACAGCTAAGGCATCTGTTTCAGTCTCAAAACTGTTTACATGCACAAAAGGCTTATGAACACGTCGTTTCTTTCGTGCTAATTCGGGTGCTACATCCCCCTTTTGCTCATCGACGTTGTTTGAAGTGTTGATTGAGTAAACGGATTGAATGATTTCAAACAATCGAAAAACTTGAAACGCACTTAAAAATAATTGGAAAACATACCAATTTTGAAGCTCGCTTTAATTTACGTTTGATGTCCTCCTCCAAATATCCTAGAATTCCAACATTAACTTCATCTTTTTGCTGCAATCCTGATGCGAACAACTGATACAAATGTAAACAAATGTGAAAAATGGGAAAAATTATCATAAAATCAAAATGAATGGTTAAAAAACTTACCAAACAAAAGTTATGTATGGTGATTCCATTCTTAGTGTATTTATTGCCATACAAAACAACGTCATTTGTCGACGACTTACAGAATATGTAGTTTGCTTCTTGGTTATCTTCGAACGATTTGTAAAGCGGTGGAATCGACATTTTAAATTAACGAAGAAAGAATGGTATACATACAACGAGTCACAACGAGTGACAAAGGCACACTGATCACGATCGACACGTTAAATGTTCTGTTATTATATCATATGCCCCGGTCAAATTATCCGTGTCTTTCTGTAGGTTAATTGTATTGTTATTTTGTTTTATGAAGAACATTCGTTGGATAATAAAATCGCCCGGTCGACCAAACTTATTGCATTCAGTTCTTAATTTTTCGGGTGACTAGAGTAATAATAAACGTAACGATTGGGCAAATAACAATGCAAATTAGATTTATTAACTGTGCATTATTCTCATAACAAAATAAATTTATTTATTTTGCATTTGCATTTTCTAACTTAGCATTATCATTAAAATCTATTGAGCATTGATTTTATTTTTACTTAATATTTTTTTAATTAACTGAGCAAAATAAAAAATAATTGAGCATTTTATATTATCCCTTTCGTATCTACCTTCCCCCAACGCTTATGTCCTTGTTGGACTGTATACGGGCGACGCGATTACGCACGAACGTCTTCCACCGATGGGGGGCCGAACGTATCCACGCGAGGGCGACTTCGGAGTCCGACCACGCGTACACGTCGTCGATGACAACCTTAGCTTGGAGTATGCTCTCGACGTACTCCAACAGATCCGAAACCGAAATTGCTGCGCAAAGTTCAAGTCGCGGCAATGTAATGGCCTTGAGTGGGGCCACCCTTGATTTTGCACTGAGCATGCGGATCACCACCCACTCGCGGTAACTGTTCTGATATAGATCACGGCTCCGTAGCCCTGCTCGCTCGCGTCGCAAAACCCATGGAGCTCTCGTCTGATTACGGTGTCTGTTGCGATAATACGGGGTATGCGAATGGAAGCCAGCGCGGGAAGCTCCGATTTGTACCTATCCCACTTAGCACATATCTCAGGGGGAGGCTTATCGTCCCACTCCAGCTTGAGCATCCAGAGTCGCTGGATCAATCGCTTGGCCGCGAAAGTGAGCGGCGTCAAGAAGCCTAATGGGTCGAAAATGCGAGCTAGCTCAGAAAGAATGGTGCGCTTAGTGCAGTCCCGGTCCAAGGGATTGACCTGAAAGCCAAAGTCGTCCGTTTGTGGATACCAACGAAGGCCGAGAACCTTGAGGAATTGCTCCTCAGGAGATTCAAATGACAGTAGCGATTGACTACAGAGTTCTGGGCTGAGATTGGCTAAGATTGATGGGTGGCTACTAGCCCACTTGCGGAGTTCGAAACCGGCAGCCCCAAGCAAGGCTTGCAGTTGCCGCTGGAGCTCACGGGGCCTCCCCCTCCGAGTCAACGCTCGCCACCACATCGTCGACGTAAACGCTCTCCTCCAAGGTGGCTGCGGCCAACGGGTAGCTTACCTTGCCTTCAGCCGCCAGCTTCAGCAGGCAAGGGATCGCCAGGAACGGAGAGCATGTCAACCCGAAGACGACAGTCAACATGAGGTAGTCTAAGGTCGGTTCGTCCTCGGAGAAGCGCCACACTATTCGCTGGTAATTACAATGACCGGGCTCGACCAGGATTCGGAGGAACATCTGTTTAACGTCCGCGGTAAGCGCGACGCGGCCGATTCGGAACCTCAACAATATTACAAATATATCCGCTTGTAGTTTTGGACCGGATTGCAATACCTGAATGATGGGGTAGATAGAAGACGCGTCCGTCCGC